TAGTCAAACCATCATATTCATGCACTTGACAACCTATACCATCCTGTAAGGCACAGCATTACACAGAGATCAGTACACATTCAGAGTGGGACTTTAGCTGGCCACTACACGGAGTGATGCTTAGGCATATTTGAGACTAACAAATATTCTTCCTCTGTTCAAACTTTAGCACACAAAGCTACTCTCACTGTACCCAAAAATCTAAGGAAGAGACTTACAACCTAATGATATCTCTTGTCCTCCCGGTTGCTTTCCCTTTTCCTTTGCCCCAGTCTAGTTTAAAATGCCCTTCATGAAAATGAATTTCCACGCTTTGTTCTTTGGTCATGTGACTGAACTACAGCACTGTATACCAGACTCAGCTTCTCCATTTCAGGTATAAAGTCTGCTTCTGCTCAGCTATACAATTTCTGTCAATATTCAAGTCAATGACCTACCTATTGTTCCATGGACCAACTCAAGATCCTTTATCCTCTCACTCCTTTTCCTAAAATTCAGTTCAATTTATGTAGAAAGCAAACTATGGCTGATAATCCACAGTTGGGTAATTCACACATGGCTCATTAAGAGTTGGCTACAGCCGGGCTCGGTGGCTCAGCCTGTAATCCCAGCACTTTGGGAGGCTGAGGTGAGAGGATTGCCTGAGCCCGCGGGTTCGAGACCCGCCCGGGCAACTTGGCGAGACCTCATCTCTACAATAAATCAAAAACTAGCTGGGCATGGTAGCGCACGCCTGTAGTTCTAGCTACTTGGAAGGCTGAGGTGGAAGGATCGCTGGAGCCCAGCAGGTCGAGGCTGCGGTGGCCGGGAGCGGCCACTGCACTCCAGTCTGGGCGACAGAGTGAGACCCCAACTCAAAAAAAAAAAAAGAGTTGGCTACAGCCAGGCTCTATGGCTCACGCCAGTAATCCCAGCACTTTGGGAAGTGGAGATGAGAGGACTGAGTCCATGGGTTCGAGAGCAGCCTGGGCAACTTGGCAAGACCTCGTCTCTACAATAAATCAATTAGGCGGGTATGGTGGTGTGTGCCTGTGGTTCCAGCTACTTGGGAGACTGAGGTGGAAGGATCACCTGAGCCCAGTGGGCAGGGACTGTGGTGGCCGTAAGCGTGCCACTGCACTCCAGCCTGGCAACAGCAATGGGATTCCTACTCAAAAAAAAAAAAAAAAAGGGGGTAGAGTACAACAAATTGTAGTATGGTGCTATCTTTGGGGACAGTACCAAAAACCTTAGTGTTTATTTTCAAATTGGATGAATGTTAACAATACATTTTCATAATAATGTAACATTTTCTAGTTCCTTACACATTAATTCACTTAATCAACCCAGTCTTTTGAGCCAGATATTATTATCCTTGTCTTGTAAATGAGGAAGTTATCTAAACACCAAGGATATCGATATATGTAATTTTGTCAGGCTCTTCAGGAAGTTTCTAATATTCTAGAGAAAAACCTGTTAGTGAAAAAAGTGGTTAACTGAAATTAATATTCCAAAGTAAATTTTCGTCTCGTCGATAGTACTAATGCAAGCCCTTGACAACCTGGAAGTTCTCTCACTAATACTACTTTCTCCCTGTAGCTAAAATGCTCCTATAGTATGTTCTTCTTACTCTAAATATGCTAGGCCTGGGAGGGCAGGAATCTGCCTTAGCCCTATTCAGTTACATGATGCATTTATAAAGGACACGTTGAATACAATAATAGCCAGGAACGTGGCCTTCCATGGCTTTTGCTAAACCTTTGCCTGGCCTTGCAAAAAATATTTTTGAACTTCAGAATTTATTACCTAATTACAACAAGGGATGGTATCATCAATTAATTAACTTGCCCCAAACCAAACTTTAAATTGTGTTTACTGTCATCTAAATGTCATAGTAGATAACAATTCTACATGCCACGGACAAATGGTGAAAATGTGCTGTATACAACCCTAAGTGTCTTGAAGAATGACCTAAGAAAAACATTCAAGTTAAGATCAAATGTTTTTTTCTTCCAAGGTTTAATCACCGAAGTGAATAAACTGTGACCTTGCTCTTTAATTTAAATCAAAATAACCTTTAGGAAATTATTTTTCTATCAGTTCTCTGAGAAGCACAAAGGGAAAAAGAATATCTAACTTTTTTTTTTTTTTTTTTGCAGCAAAATCACTTTATATAATTTGGACAGAAATGAATGTTAGTATATGTGTTAATGATTGTGAGAAAAATGAGAGAAAAAAGAAAAGCATAAAAATTTATAAATTAAAAACAAAACTCTGCAAAGCAATATAAATTGCAATGCATATCTATAGGAATACAGTGAAGGGAAGAAAATTCCATAGTTAGAACTAACTATATTTTTATTTATTAAGTAGATTTTTTGGCTAATTAGGGATTAAACTTGATAAGGACTACAAATCGAATCCATCCTTTACTGAAATTTTTTTCCATCCTTTACTGAGTTTGTTTTTTAAGTTCTGTAATATTTCTCTGCTTTAATATATGCAATAAACAAATATAAAACTTGTCATTTAAAAGTATCAAAGCAAACATGATAATATATTTATTATATAAAAATGTAGCCAAGCACAGTGGCTCATGTTTATAATCCCAGGGCTTTGGGAAGCCGAGGTGAGAGGATTACTGGAAGCCAGGAGTTCAGTATCAGTCTAGGCAACATAGTAAAACACCCATCTCTACAAAGAATTAAAAATAAAAATAAAAATAAAATATTAGCTCAGCGTGGTGGCCCATGCCTGTAGTCCTAGTTCTTTGGGAGGTTGAGGTGGGAGGATCACTTGCGCCCAAGAGTTTGAGGTTGTAGTGAACTACATCACAATACTATACTTCAGCTTGAGTGACATGGTGAGACTCTCTCTCTTTAACAGAAAAAAAAAATACAGCCTGGTATTGTGGTTCAAGCCTGTAGACCCAGCACTTTGGGAGGTGGAGGCAAGAGGATTGCCTGAGCTCACGGATTCAAGACTAGTCTGGGCAACATGGCGAGACCACATCTCTACCACAAAATTTTTTTTAAAAATTAGCTGGGCATGATGGTGCATGCCTGTAGGTCCAACTACTTGGAAGGCTGAGGCAGAAGGATTGCCTGAGCCCAGCAGATCGAGACTATGGTGGCCGTGAGCATACCACTGCACTACAACCTGGGCAATAGAGTGAGACTCTGATTCAAAAACAAAAAAGAAAGAAAAAAATCACAAATATATAGATTCTTACAATAATGGAAATGTAACTAAACATCTAAGACCACATGTGAAAAGTGTTTTCTAAATCAAATCCCAATTATCAAAATGGTTAACAAACTCCCATTGAATTTGCTCATTCAATTCCAGTTAAGTTTGGCTAACCCAAGCTTTATTCAATCATTCTGCAAATATTTATTAACTAGTTACTATGTGCTAGTTAATACAGTTACAACTGGGAGAAAAAGAAATATTTGTTTTCTATTTGTATTTCTATTTGTTTTCTATACCTAATATCAACCAATATATAAACTTGCAGAAACTTACACTATCAATATTTTTTGATAAAAACATTTCCCAAAATATTCATTTGGAATCAACAACTTATAATTTAATAATATTCCAGAGAGAAGTTCTAATAAGAGAAAGGGCTATCTGGCACAGAAATATGCCAGCAAAAATGAAATAGATATAACCTATTTCAGTAATCTTAAATCAAGTTGCCAAAATACAAAATTTAATGCTCTTACATAATGCTCAAAGTATTTTTCTTTTCATCTATTCCCGATTGCCTTATTATGTTAAAAAAATAATTGATTTTTTATATCGCTTGGCATTTTATGTGCTTTAATAGAATACATTTTGCTTTATGAAACCACAGTGTATTTAGGCAGCACTAGAGTATTAAAATATGCACCTTAAAAGTTAAGAGGTTTCTTGCCAACAGTTTTAAATTCCCCCAAATAACGAAAGGTCTAAAGACACAACAATAACTGGTAAAATGGCATAACAATATAGATGTCCTGTCATGACATTTTACATCTTCCCCAAATTTATCAGTAACTTTACCCTAGTTATAATTGGAGTATCTTAAATATATAAACACATAGATATTATGTATTAATAGAAATAGAATATATAACTTCACCAAGAACATTTCTCAATTTATCCTCGAGACTAATAGGTAAGCAAAACTATAAAAGCCTCCGTGTGAAGGGACCGGGACAGTGAGGACTGGGAATGACTGTTAATGTGTATGGGGTTCCTTTTTGGGGTGTTGAGTATGTTCTAAAATTAGAGAGTGGAGATGGCTGTGCAATTCTGCAAATATACTAAAAACAACTGAACTGTATATGCTTTATTTTATTTATTTATCTATCTGTTTATTTATTTATTTTTGGAGTTGGAGTCTCACTCTGTCACCCAGACTGGAGTGCAGTGGCCGCCCATGGTCACTGCAGCCTCGACCTGCTGGGCTCCGGCAATCCTTCCACCTCAGCCTTCCAAGCAGCCGGGACTACAGCCGCACGCTACCATGCCCGGCTAATTTTTGATTTATTGTAGAGATGAGGTCTCGCCAAGTTGCCCAGGTGGGTCTCGAACCCGCAGGCTCAGGCAATCCACTCACCTCAGCCTCCCAAAGGCGCGGGATTACAGGCTGAGCCATCGAGCCTGGCTTATATATGCTTTAAATGGGTGAATTTTATGGTATGTGAAATATATCTCTGTAAAGCTGGGGAAAAAAAACCTTCATATAAAAACCTTCATATAAAAAAGTTCATCAAGTTCTAGTCTCTAAAAGCACCCGTGGGTACATAACAACTGCTTCTCTTATTGTCTGGTTACTATATAATCCATCATTTTATTCACTAAGGAAGCTACTAATTTTAAAGGTAACAATTGAAAGCAGCGTGATATCCTACTTTGGGTATTCAGTTTTGCTTAAGTCAATGGGTTCCTCAAACAATTACAATTACTACTTCACATTATTGGACACAAACCAGTCGCTCTAAGAAAAACCACGTCCAAAGAGGTTCTTATACCTGGTAATCCAAAATGCTGAATCCCAAGCCTTTATGATCTTTTACCAACTCAACGATCTTGACTTCAGGAGACCACATTGCTAACTCCCCATCATCATCTTCTTCGATATTGACATATACATTGTGATCAGCCTGAAATACCAAAGAAGATACATACTTCAAAACACTCTCAATTCTGAAAAGAATGAACACATCAGAAATCGCACAACTTTTTCTCAAAATGGGAATTCTCTTTGGCATGCATAGTTTTTTTCTTATTAATCTTTGTAAAAGGGGCATGCTCCAGGGCACAAACAATCTAGGATGAGCACTTCATGAAAATTCAAGCACTTAAAAATGCAGATTGTTCAAATGTACTTTTATTAAAGTACCTGTTTCTTTCAAAGTAGTAACACTGACCTCTTATACTTCAATGAGTTCTGTCATCCCATTAGAAGCATAAAAGGAAAAACATGCAATTTAAGCAAATGCAAACTTCATCCAAAGTAGAGAAGATTTTAAGATATTTAAGTAGTAATACCTGGATTGATAATTAAACACAGAGAAAGATAGATGCCGACACACAGACAGGCAGAAGCAGGGCACAGAAAAACCACTTATGCTGGCTCCTGGAAGTGTTCGGGAAAACCTTCATGAGAGAAATAAGGTGAAAAAAAAAATCCAAGTCCTTGGGTATCATATACATCTAAGAATAGGTAAAAATCACTGAGTTGAAATGCAGAAAATCTGATCTTAGATGACATAGGCCAACACAACCACCCAACACATAGGTCTTTGCTTGCGTTTCCTGACTTCACTCCCCAAAGTCCCTCTATTCCAGACTCCCTAACCTTTCAGGAAGAAGAATCAGTACTATGTGGAATTTCAGAAATAAAAAGGACAGGGTCATTTAACAGAATGAGCCCACTATGCAGAAGGAGAATGGCTGCTTCCAAAACCTTCTGTTTGTATACAAATTACAGGATTGCACTGTCCTTTTCTTCCAATTTACCTTCCCCAAAATACTCTGTACTTCTATGTGAAGCTCAAAATTATCTCATTTTCTTTATAACCCAAGTAACTAACAAAATGTCTGGCTCCTAGGCTAGCATGGAAGCTCAGTGAGGGACACCATAGAGTATACTGTGGTTACCCACTCGATCTACACGATGCCTGCCTGATAGTAGGCATTCAATAAATGTGTGTTTCTCTGGACACTCCTCCTTAATGAAGCGACCAATTAAATAATTGTTAAAAGTAGACTTCTTGGCCAACTGCATTGGCTCAGCATGCAGTCCTAGCAATTTGTGAGTCCAACATGGGAAGACTGTTGGAACCCAGGAGTCCAAGATCAGCCTGGGCAACATAGTAAGACTTTGTCTCTACAGAAAAATAAAAAAACAAGTTGGGCATGGTGGTACTTGCCTGTAGTCCCAGCTACTTGGAAAACTGAGGTGGGAGGATCGCCTGAGCCCAGGAGGTCAGGGATGAGGTGAGCCATGATCACGCCACTGCATTCCACCCTGGGCGACAACGCAAGACCCCACACACAAAAAAAGACTTCTTAAAACTCTGGATAATTTCAGTGAATAAAATGAAAATGCATCATCCCTACAAACACAATTTTGAAAGATCTGTATGAGAAAATTCATTTAACAGAATCAAAGAATGCAAGAAAAACAGTCCTCTATAGTTTGGAAGACAGCTAATATGAACACATTTTTAAAATTAGGATTGGGGCCGGGCTCGGTGGCTCAGCCTGTAATCCCAGCGCTTTGGGAGGCCAAGGTAAGCGGATTGCCTGAGCCCGCGGGTTCGAGACTTGCCTGGGCAACTTCGCGAGACCTCATCTCTACAATAAATCAAAAAATCAGCTGGGCATGGTAGCGCATGCCTGTAATTCAGGCTACTCGGAAGGCTGCGGTGGAAGGATCGCCAGAGCCCAGCGAGTCGAGGCTGCAGTGGCCGGGAGCGGCCACTGTACTCCAGTCTGAGCGACAGAGTGAGACTGCAACTCAAAAAAAAAAAAACAAAATAAAATAAAATTAGGATTGGGCCAGATCTCAAACTATTGTTAAAAAACCTGGGCAGTCAATTCACAATCCTTGGTAATCTGAATCTAAGCATGGGAACCATTTTTTGGTTCTTGAATTACATAAATTGAAATTAGTGGGAACGTTATTAATCAATACCCTCTGTACATTTCAGACTGATGTGAGGAAGTGATGTACTTAAAATGAAAACACTTATATTTTCCAATAAAAAGTAGAGTTCCAGTGGCTAATACAATATGATTAATGTTTTACTGTAGCATTTGATACGCTCACTGATTAACGAGTATTAGATTTTTGACTGAGTTGCCTAACCAGATAGGGTTTGAGAACATAAGATGGTCTCAGGATAAATGAGAAAAGAGACAGATAGAAAAAGAGCCAGGGTTTTAAGAAACCACCTATAATGACAAAACCCAAGCTTATAGAAATTTTAAGGCTTCAAGGTACAAAAGATATTATATTCTAACCTGAAATATATCGCTTTGCTACAGTCAGTTCTGCATAACTCCTGTATTTACAGAATGGAAAGCAATCATCTAATGGGCAGCCAGGTTGACATTCAGCATAATTCAAAGGTGTTGGTCACCCACTGTGGTAGAGTGTGACGGATGGGGACACAGAGTGAGCAAAGGGCTGGAGATTTACACACCCTGCAAGATGAGATTAGAGGCATTGCTATCAACCTTCAGAGGGAAGCCACCACCCACATTTCATTTCAGTAAAAATAGCAAATGTCACAAAGTGTGGCATTCGAGTCCCCTCTATGAAATATTTTTTTTGCAACAGTTAAACATTTAAAAAACTATATTGCCAATCAATAATCAAGACTTTGCTAAGCTGCTCTTATATACCCAGCTTAGCAAAGCCTTGGTTATTGATGGACAATCTTTTATTTTATCAATAATCAAGACTTTGCTAAGCTGCTCTTACGTACCCAGTACAGAATAAAAACACTCTGAGATGGAAAATAATTTTAAGAAATGGCCTCCGCCCACAAGGGGCGGACAGTCTCCTTGGAAAAACAAGATCAAAACACACTTAAGTGTCCATGATTATAAGACAGGCTGGACTCTTGTGTACTTTATGAAATCAGAAACAAAGGTAGGTGGACTGGGGGAACCATGAGCAGCCATAGCTAACTGGGCAAAGCATTGCACTAAGCACTTTCCGTACTCGAAGCATTGCACTAAGAACTTTGCACACATTTCTGCATTTCCTTCGCACACAAACTCTGTGAGGTGGGTAAGTACTATAATTTTCACAATTTTTCAGAGGTGTGCCTGGCCCTAAACTATGTTTAATGGAATTATAATCTGAAAGAATTTGAGGGCTGGGTGCAGTAGCTCACGCCTATAATACCAGCACTTTGGGAGGCTGAGGTGAAAGGACTGCCTCAGCCCATGTGTTTGAGACCAGCCTCAACTTGGTGAGGCCTCATCTCTACAATACATCAAAAAATTAGCTTGGCATGGTAGCACGCATCTGTAGTTCCAGCTACTTGGAAGGTCGAAGTGGAAAGATCGACTGAGTCCATCCAGCAGGTGGAGGCTGCGGTGGCCGTGAATGCCACTGCACTCTAGCCTGGGCGACAGAGTGAGACTCCGACTCAAAACAAAAAATAAACAAATTTAAAAATAGAAGAATTTGAGGCTGGGTGCAATAGACCATGCCCATAATCCTAGCATTTTGGGAGGCCGAGGTAGGAGGACTGCTTGAGGCCATGAACTCAAGGCCAGTCTGGGCAATAAAGTGAGACCCTGTCTCTACAAAAAATAAAAAAATAAAAATTAGTTGGGTGTGGTTGTCCTAGCTACTAAGGAAGCTGAGGTAAGAGGATTGCTTGAGGTCAGGAGATAGACATCCTTAACATTTATAAAAATTAAGGTCTCACCCCAGGGGAACAGAGTGAGACCCTATTTCTAAAGAATACATACATACATACATAAAATAATTTGAAAACGGAGGAAAGTGGAATAAAAGATGAGTCAACAAATAGCATAAGATAGCAAGCATGTGCTCAAAACTTTTTATTGTTATAATGCTCTCAAAAAAAAAAGTGTACCAAGAACGTAGAAAGTGCTATTTCATTCTCTGACCTACAGCCTTTTATATCAATTTCTAGTCTTGCTTCAAATTTGATCATATGGACGGGTACAGTGGCCCACCCCTGTAATCCCAGAACTTTGGGAGGTCCAGGCAGAAGTATTGTTTGAGCCCAGGAGTTCAAGACCAGCCCGGGCAACGTAGCGAGACCCTGTCTCTACATATTAAAAATAAAAAACAAATTTGATCATAGATCTTCATATTTCTAAGGCTCTGAAAAAGCACAGTCCATTAGCTATGCAATGCTCATCAACTTCTGAAGATAAAACTTATTCAGATGAACTGAGTTGAATTAGAAGCCAAAAGAAATGAGACCAGGCAATTCCTTAAGAATTCTCTAAAATCAAAATCAATCAATGTCACAAACATTTCAAGGAAAGGAAAGGAAAAAGTTTGATGACATTAAATGAAAAGGAACCATTTGCAAAGCTATGCGTTGTTGTCTTAGTCAAGCAAAGAGCCAAGTAGAGTGGGTTCCCCTCCCTTCCTGTGGCAATGCACTCTTGGGGTGGCATCCTTGATGCGTGGGCGTGCCCATGGGATCCACAGTGTATTTATTTAGTACCTCCATCTCAGAAACAGAAGCTTCAGTGGTCCTTGGTTCATCTACAGAGGCCTCATCATCAAACAACCTCCGACAGCAAACCAAGGTAAAAGGGGGTGGCACTTCCTTAAGAAAGGAGACTGCTTCTCGGCGGGATTTTCCATAGAGTTGCACGCCGTTGACCTAGGAAGACAAGGAATAAGTCAGAACTGAAGTGACCCCAACTGAAAAACCCCAAATCTCATATTTACAACAGTCTACCAAAGTGAAAATAGAATATCGGTTTATTGATCATATTATTGTAGTACTAAATACAAATGGTAGAAATCCTTAACATTTATAAAAATTAAGGCTAAATCTTTACTGATCGTGGTTTTACCAATCTTGGGTGAATAAGGTATAATATGGCTGCCTATTATACTCTACCCAATATTTTGCACCTCTCTGTTTCCCCTTTTGATACTCCAATGCTGTATCTCTCACCTGCTTCAACCCAGTTCTCCTTAAACACACGGGAAAACCATTTCCTTCTGCATTTTCATTTCATCAGAGTATCACTATAGATATTAACACTAAATTTAAGGCTGTTGAAAACTGCTTCACTGGCTGGGCATGGTGGCTCACATCTACAATCCCAGCACTTTGGGAGGCCGAGATGAGAGGATTGCCTGAGCCGTTCTGCCCTCATATGACACCCTTAGGGGCCCAGCTCAAGTGCCCCTGTCCCTCCCTATCATGCCTCTCTCAGCCATAAACGATGTGTCTGTCTGTCTGGGCTCTCTCACATTTGACACTGTGCCTGACACCGGTTAGCCCTGGACACACTGGTCTCCCACACTGGGTGATAAGGCCCTGGCAGTGTTCATTAAATAATGGTTTCGGGGGTGGACCCTGAGCTATCTGGACTCAGTCTTTGTTCCACCACCTACTAGCTGTATGACCTTTGGCAGGTAACTTAATGTTTCTGGGGCTGAATTTCTTCATCTGTGAAAAGAGGATAGTGATAATGGTTCATACGTCTGTCGTAAGAGCTAAACTCATACACATGAAGTGCTTGGGTTTCTGTGTGGGTTTCCTGGGTGGTTGGCTGGACCTTTCCCAGATGGGTCCCCTCCCATCAGAAACAGCCTCTTGGCCAGGCACAGTGGCTCAAGCCTGTAATCCCAGCACTTTGGGAGGCCGAGGTAAGGGGATTGCCTGAGACCATGGGTTTGAGAACAGCCTGGGCAACTTGGCAAGATCTCATCTCTACAATAAATCAAAAAATTAGCTGGGCGTGAGAGCACATGCCTATAGTTCTGGCTACTTAGAAGGCTGAGGCAGACGCTGGGATGGCTGTGAGTGTGCTACAGCACTCCAACCTGGGCAATGGAGTAAGATTCCAACTCAAAAAAAAAAGAAAAGAAAAGAAAGAAACAGTCTCTTGAATGCTCACCCCTTCCTGGCGAGGAAAGTCATACGTCTGGCTTCTGCCTTCTCCCTCAGCATTGCAGGGTCCTGCACGAAATGGTCAGCTGTGAGGGAAAGGGAAACAGATCTGGACTCACAAGCTGCCCC